TGTCTTATTTTAGCCCTTTATGGTTTTATAATTCTGAAATTATGAATGAGTTTATGGGGAAGAAATCTAAGAAGCTAAAATATTTTGTTGCTGCTATCCCAAGGCATTTAGTTTCATTACCTGATATAAAATAAGTTTTTATTTAAAGAAACAAAATTATAAGAATCTTATGAGCAAAGAAGAAAAGCCACAGAACTAAGAACCTTCCATGATGTGGAGATCTACAACATGTGTAGTGATCCAATCTGACTCAGACTTTTAACAGTTGGTAGAAGTTTGGAGCAGAAATCTATAAATATATATATATAAACAGAAATTTAGACGCTTAAATATTTTTGTTAGTTTTTTGAGTATCTAGAACTCCACCTGACTTTTAAAGTGGGTTGTTAAAGAGCAGTATAAATAAGGAACATTCTTGAAGAAGAGCCCGTAGACCTCCTCTCTGAGTTTGGCTCTGTGGGAGTACAGCTTGGCACGACAAAGCATCTGGCCCACATGTGCTCCAAAGAATTTTGTGTTTGTTGCCATTTCACACATGAATTTTTAAATGCTCCTGGCATTTTAATGCTGCTCCTGGCATGTCATTAGCACCAATCTCATTTTGTAATTCTGTGTGGTGTGTTTAGTTTTCATTCCTTCTTTAAGTGATTCACAGGAGCCTGATAGATGCAAGGCTCCTATGGGTTTCATCATTCCTCTGCACAATTGTTCTGGCATGGTACAGGTGCTGCATCACTGTTTCCAGCACGTGGTATCTGACTTTGGCAGCTCGTGGTTGTTGGCCTCTTAATAAGTTTCTGCATTTTGCATCACTAGCTTTCTGTTTGCTACATCAGAAATTTGTCTGCACAGTAATTGCATAAATTCACTTATGATACTGGAAAATGTTAATATAGTATGATTAATTGTAGCTAAATGTTTTAAATGTATGTAAATCATGTCTTTAGCAACTGTATCTTAGTTTTAGCTTTTGGTAACTGCGATGTAGAGCTGTGTTTCACAGCTGTTTTCCTTCCCCCACTTCTGCCCTGTTTGCTCATTTATCTAAATGTGTTAACTCACAATGTTTCTCAGAGTCACATTAGTGAATTAACAAGGTCTAGCTTCTTGTAACACGACTTTAAAACTAATCAGTCTTTTTTATGTTTAGAGATAAAGCATTCCAAAATGACAGCCATGAATTTCAATGTTTCTTCGTAAGGCTGATTTTGTTTGTTTTTCATTTAAAAAAAAAAAAAAAGGCATTTTCTTAGGAACAGAGGGAGCATATAGCAGTCTTCACTGTCTCCATTGTAAAATGGTCTTACAACATTATGACAGTGGTTTGATAGAGAGGTTTTGGGGGTTTTTTGTATCCTTTATGCAAATCTACACAATCTAACTAGGCAATCTCTTATCTCTTACGTTTGGGTAGTTGATTTGGTTTGTGAGATTGGGTTTTCTTTTGCAGAAGTCCATAGATAATGAACCTCGGCTGGAAACAGCCTTGGAAAAGCTTGCACTGCTCATGTTTGTTCTGTATCTTCTGAGTGTACAAGGAGTGCATAACTCAGATCCCCAAACTTTCAACTCTTCAATTCCATTGAACTCCTTTTTAAAAGAAAATACTGAGTTATGTTAACCAGCACTGCCTTTTTTGTTTCTATCTAAAATTCTCTCCATTCAGATAAATTCCCAGTGGTCTCCTGGTGCGCTGGATGAAAGAACTAATCCTTATCTAGTGCCTTACAGCATTTCATGGCTAGAACACAGATCAGTGTGAAAATTTGTCTTGGTTGATCACTACAGTAGGGTATGCAGTCTTGTATGATGTGCAAAAAATTGAAGTTAGAACCTAAATCAAGAGCTCATCTTTCCACATGTGTTTTGGGTTTTTTGTTTCAACTTTGAGTTACTATCTCCTTATGCACCATAGCTATGACACAGGAATTGCTAAATCACAGGGGTTTATCACGCTATAGCGTGGTATAAAAGAGAGGCAGTGTCATGGGATTTCTCTTAAAATTCATGTTAGCAACATCTCCTCGAGGTACCTGGTCCCATGAGAGCCACAGGCAAGGTGATCTCCACCACAAGGATCCCCCATTGTCTTTGCTTTGCATGTCCTTTCCATGAAGGGTAGCAGTTTATTCTCTAGGACATCTAGTTTTGCTCTTCTTATCCTATCATGACTTGCTTATTGGGAAGCTCTACACAGGGCCAGAGCAGTGGCTGACCAAGCCTATGTCTTTAGAGGCACTGTGATATCTGAACTGTTACTGTAAGTGTCTTGTCTCACACATTAGGGAATAATAACTTAAAGTTGAGGGTCTTTAAATTGTTATTTGAGGGAGAATAAAATAACACATATGGTGTACACGTAAAACAACCTTAAGAGGAAGATGGAACAACACTGCATGCCAAATAGTTTGTATCACTCACCCAGTAATCAACTCTTTTTTGAAGCATTAACTCTTTTAAGAAATTATATGTTGCTTTGTGTGAGTTGCATGTTTACCTTCTCTGACAGTTTAGTCCAAAGATAAAATGTTCTCTATTGTAAACAGCCATATTACAGAAAAACACCAAAGAGCACATCTAATAGGATTCACTCAAAGACCTTTTCCCTCATTAGTATTGCACAACTGTGTGTTGTTCACTGTAAGGTGATGATCTTTTGAAAGAAAGAAGCAAAGAGAAGGTTGAGTCATGAACTCCATGTTGATCTAAAAAGGAAATGGTACTTCATTTCTGTGCATAAGAAAATACAATATTTGAAATTAAAAGAAGAAACATAATGAGTAATATTCTTAAAAATATTAGGGATCTAAAAGTTTTTAAAAGAATATTTTTTCCCTTCAAACCTTAGCAAATGGATTACAAAGATTAGATAGATACATGAGTGTAGATCCTGCCACTCGCCTTTTAAATGTTTTGAGATCCTCATAGGAAGAGCTGTGAAAGCCCTTCTCAGTCATGGCTCTTCGAGCAGAGCCTGCTCAAATGCCTGCACCACCCACTGAAGTCCATAGCACTTGTGAGAGAGACCCTTCTGAGAACAGTAGGGGACTAAAGGAGCTGGTTTCATTTCCTTCTCCTAGCAGTTTCAAAAACAGAGGTTTGGTTGCTTCCAAGGACCTAATGCAAATACTACTTCAAGGGTAGTATTCAAGCCACAGGAAATGTAAAGTGAAGGGAAGTACAGTCTGCAGGGTTAGGGGCAGAGGATCAGCTTTGAGTTGCTTGTTTGAAAGTGGTGGATACATATAATCTGAGCTACAGAGCATTGTCCAGCTGGCTTGAGGCTCGTCTCTTTTAATTATTGAAATGTTCCCTAGGAAAATGTTGAAGCAGCAAAGTGATGCAAATCAGCTCAAACGGTTGTGTAACTATTCTTTCATATGAAGGTGTAAGTATGTGACAAGGAAATTTGCTGTCAGGAAGTATTAGAAACTTGATGATCTGCATCTCTTTCCTCTTCATACCATGCAAGCATGTGTGACAGTATTATTCCTGAGGAAGTTTCCTGATACAAAGCAGATTGCTGCTTTTTTCCTTGCAGCATGTAACAGTGTTAGTTCTTACTTTCTTGTTTGTACTTGGCTATGTGTAAATGTGGCTCACCACAAAACAAACCATGGAAATAATCCCCTCTCTGAACTCTCTCAAATAACTGAATTTTTTTCTTTTTTTCTCCCTCTTATATCCTAAAATATTGATGGATATAATTCTAGCCCAAGGGAAGTAAAAGGGACACACAGGATATCTTTTGCCATTCAGGTACTGCTACAGCCCCAATCAAGTTAGTGGAAGTTCTGCCACTCAACTGACTAGAAATGGGATTCAGCCTTTGCTTACTGATCTCATTCCGATGCAGTGGAGTTTTCTGCATCCGTGTGAGCAAGGGAAAAATAGGAAGGCCCATGTTAATAGATATTGCGTAAAAAAATCAGTGTGAGGTGTCATAGGTTGAACAGTCCTGACTTGCATGTTTTTTCTTAGCTCAGTCTGAAACAAGATCTCTTGTGCTGCTTAAGTGGAGTCAGTGAAACAATTTAAGTCAGTAATGGTGAATTCCTGTTTTGTGCTTCGCTTGGGAAGCAACTAATATAGCATGCTTACAGTTCTGTGCACCAAAAGATGTAGATTCGTGTATTGTGTCATCTCAAACTCACAGTTAGTTAATAAAAATTAATATTATATTACTGTCATGCAAGTAGAGAGTTAAAGCTTGACCTGTTTTCTTTTCAAGAATATTAGCATTAGGAATATATTTTACATACATTAATGAGTGTTGTGCACCTCTGACTTCCGTCTACTTTCTAGTGAATGCAGGCTGCTAGAGTCTTGTTTGCCTTGCTTCATAGATCAAGAAATTCCAGCAAAACTGTTCAAGATCTCAGTTAGGTTGTGTGAGTATAAAAAACCTAAAAATTTAACAGCTACAATTTTCAGAGAGATACTTTTATAAAAATGCAATTGATATAATAGTACCTTTGGCAGATAAGAGTCCCTTCATTTCCCCAACAGTCCTTACTATTTCTTTCCATTTCCTTTCTTTTCTCATTCCCTTCTTTTGACTTTACTCTGAGAGAATAAAATTTATAGAAAGGAGATAAGATGAAAAGCAGAAGTAAAGGAAGAATAGCATGTTTTGTTTTCTGGTCTTTGCATATTTGTTCCAAGGGCACCATAAGAATTTGTGTGTACCAATTTTTCACAATCAGTAACTTTCAGGGGGTTTTATACATCTCTCTGAGATACTTCCTAAAACTAAATGCTGTACCCCAGTGAACATTTTATAAATATTAAAATAATGTAGGGGACTGACTGGTAAATCTAAGTTATCTTTAAGTATTTGAATTGTAACAGAAAATGAAAACAAAGTTTTGGCACTCTAAGTTGTCTCTAGTGCTAAAGTGCTTTTGGTTCTTCCTCACAAGAACTGGTGGCCTGTTAGCCTGTTCTAAAGAGTACAAGACTTCCTCATGAGTGAAAATATGTTTCTTCATATTCAACAGGTCAAGTTTTCTTTGGATTGAGGCAGAACTGTGGCTCATGGACGTCTGATGTGATAGGTAAGTTGAATCTGACACATCTTTTTACATTATAACCACATGACAAATATTGATCTTGATTATGATAATGTAAGTGCAAACTGTAGATGAACCATCTTTCTTATTTTGCATTTCCACTGGTGGTAGAGAAATGAAAATTTACCTCCTTTCCATCTTTCCCAAATGACCTTTCAAAAACAAGGTTTAAAAAATTATTAATGACCTTTCTATTTAGAAACAATATGCATCAGGAGATACCAAAAAAAAAAGTAACTTCAATTAACCTTATTTCTTGAAATAAGATGGTAAAATATTCTGCTGTGAAAAAGGATATTTGGGCTTACGAGTTCAGAAATTCCGGTGTAACTGAGGCATAGCATAGCCCATATGTTTGTAAATAAGGTATCCTAGCATGTCATTAGTGCATAAAAGAGAGACTAAAGTAAAGGTAGAGTTTTATATTGTGGGTTTTTTGTTGAATTTTATTATTTATGGCAATTGCTCAATACCTAGGACATACATCTGTAGACTTGTTTAGTCTTATAATCCTGAAACAGTGATGTGACCAAGCTGGAGTTTTGCTTAACCTGAAGTATGTAAGGCTGCTCCAGTTCCAGAGAAACAGTGAAGAACATGTGAAAGGATTTGAGTTAAGTTTGTGTGAGGCTCTAGAAAGCCCTTGTCACAGGGACATCCACCGTGGAAATGACTCCTAGAAGGGTTTTGACAGTCAGAAGCAGGTAGACAAACCGGAGTGTCCTGCACTGCTTGTGTCAATTAAACATATACATTGTGAAGAAGTGTATTGAATGGTATAGAGTTGATCTGACAAATAAATACAAAAATTTCTTGTGCGGTAGAAATTTCTAAGTATGTAGGGAAAAAAAAAAAGGAAACAATGTAAAAATATTAGTTTGTCATTTCTGGAATCCAGTTTAGAAGACTCCTGAACGATGTAATTTTTCAAGTTGCAGGATAACTTTCTGAAGTAATCAAGCCAAGATATATATTCCTAGCAGGATTTTGAGTTTTTACAATATATGTTGTTGTCTACATTCACTTTTTTATGGTTAGGATTTAAAAATGAAGGTAGGAAAAAAATTCATTGCTTTCTCTACTAGTCTGAACATAATGATAAATTTCTAGAACTTCCATGTTGATACGTCAGAGTTTTCTTTTTATGACGCTGTGTAGGAGAGAGTTTAACTCCTTTCAGTCTGTTTCAATTCCTTCACTTCTTTCAAGGTAGCAAACATGTTTGGGTTTTTTAACTTACATTTTTCATTCATTTGGATACAAAAGCAGACTGGTAGCACCAGACTAACACTGGGATGATGAACTGGCAGTAAATTTAATGACATGGAAGGTGATATATGATAAATATGATAACATTTTTAGCACCAGAAGAGTTTGCCATTCAGACCTATGTATCACACATAGGTTAAGCAGTTTCTAAGATGTCAGTACGTTGTGGTTTATAGTTCAGAAACTCATCCTTTCCTAGATAAAATGAAACATCAGTTTGTGTGTGTGTAATACCTTGCAATTAATTATACAGGCAGACACTTAATGGGGTCTGAGCGTGAATGCCCCAAATGGGAGGTGCATTCATATTGCACAAGTGCTTGAGAGAAATTTGTGTTGCATGTGCATGTTATGTAAATGTGGTTGGTAACACTGGATCAAATGGATATCTTTTTCCATTGCTGTGTAGCCTTTTATTATGGAGTCGATAAATCCATTCTTTCTTGTGGGAAGCAGAAAAAGGAAAAATGGTGCTGCAGAAATACGTGGATCTTTTCTTCCTTGCAGAAAAGGAAGGATTCATCTCAGAGAACACTCCATGAGCTCACCTTTTCAGCAGAGGTTTTTTTCCGTATGTGTGTGCTTATGTTTGTGAGTATCTCTTCTGTAGCATAAAAAATCAAGGTATTATATAAGTAGATCTTTCCTTAAAAGAGGCTGCACAAAGAGGATCATTTTTTCCCTAAATGTGTCATGGAGCAAGTGTCCAGTCTTTTGGAAGGTCTGATCTCAAAGAAACGGAATATAGGTTGTGCCACAGGCTGAAACTGGAAACACAAGAGTGAGAGAATACAGTCTGTAATACACACACAATGCTCTCAAGCCTTGAACACACTTAAAATTTGTCAAAGTAACATAATTAATGTCCTAAAAAAGCACCAGGAAAATAGATGTCAGCCAGTGGATTTGATATGTATGTAGCTCATTATGTGGAGAGAGGGATAGAGACTTTAATTGTTGCAAGAGGAACAGCAATTTGCTGAAAAGGGGAGGCACGCACACAGGCAACTGTTTCAGGAAAGGAAATCCCAGCAAGCTGGAAAAATGGGGCTGAGAGAGAAATGAAGAGCACAAAAGTGAGAGCTCAGTAGCAGATATTGTAATGGAGAAGCTACAGTGCAAAGCTGATGGGGGTGGGAAAGTGAACAAATACAATGAAAAACAACCTTCATTATCCCTGGCTCGGTGCATTGGGTTCTATCGTTGCTAGTGCTTAATTACCTGTTGTGATGGTAGCTCCCCATCTTGATTCATTCTGCTTTAATTACCAGTTGCATGGCTTGAACACAGCACAAGGACAAAGGGAATGAAGTCAGATCCATAATGGCCAGGTTCAGACAGGTCCTCTAGGGATGGCAGAAGAGAATAGAATCTGCTGAAGGTATTTGTGAGAAGTTGCTTCTCTGTTAAGCAATAATGCTGACAACTGGTGTGTTGAGAAAATGAAGGAGCACCATCCACATGTAGTTCAAATGTACAGGAGAGGTAAACTGTGCAGTGAACATGCACCATATGTGTAAGAACTCAGAGCAAAGTCATCTTTAAGAATTAGTCATCATATTACTTTGCTTTTAAATTGATTTTTAGAATTATTTATTACAGTGATATCATTATTTATGGTTCAGCAGCCGTACGTTGGATAATGTTCCACACAGAGATAAACTGGTAATTGAAAAAAACTGAAATAAACTTTTAGTGGAGACAGAGCTGAAAATGAGACGATTTCTGTTCTGTCAGTGTTATTTCTATTAGAGGACACTGCAATGTACAGAGGCTCAGAAAGATGTCAGTAAAAATAACAACCTGACATTTTATGTGCAGTAAATACTGAAAACTGGAGACTGGTTTATTATTTTTATTTTATGTGTGGGTTGTTTGTTTGGTTTTTAGTTAATGCAAATCTGCTTTATATCTCATTATTTTTCTCCTTCAGTTTAATGGCAGTGTAACAGTCTATGTTAGTGCCTATTTCTTTATCCAGTCTCATAAGGTCACCATTTGACAATTATAACTTAGTTCAGATAAATGTTTCCATAAGTCGATATCTCTTTTCATTTAGTATGGGCAGACTGAAAAATTTGGGGCCACTTACTTTCAGCAGATTGTACTAATAATAAAATTAAATCCTTTGAGACTAAAGTACAAAATTCATAGTCTGTTGGACTGGATGTCTAGTCAGAGTTCATGACAATAATATAATTATTTGTGTTTTAAAAAAAACAAAACAAAAAACAAAACAAAACAAAACAAACAAAACCATACAAAAATTCCCCCAAAAAATCATTCCCAAGAAAAGCAAAATCCCTTCCTCTCCATCTCAAAAAACCTACAAAGCTAGAATTGGCACCAGCATACTAACTTCTACAAGTATCAAGGTATTTAGGTACAAAAGCTGTATTGTAGTAAACACTGGACTGAGTGCTTTAAAAAATGTGTGGGTGAACAGGGAGCAGAAATGGTCACTGAATAGCTCAGGTGACTTTAAGCAACCATGTGAGAAAGTATTTGATTTTTATGATGAATGTTGACCAACTCTTGGATATAACTGAGGAATCCTCACCACATGAATGAACCACTCAGCGCTGGCTGGATTGCACAAGCAGGAAACTCACCATTGGACTTGGCTGAGGTTGGGAGCCACAGTGTGAGTTTCAGTCTGTTCACTGAGTGGAACTGAGGAACAGTAAGACTTCACCAGTAGGTGGATTGTTCTTGTGCTGTAGCATTGGAAAAGATGAAGGGTGGAGAGCAAAAAGAAAGAGGAAAGATATAAAAGTGATTCTCGTGTGATTGGGTTTGTGCATGAAACTCTTCCTTTGTGTGCTTCCTCAGCAGTATCTGGTCCTTCAGAGCAGCATGCTAAGCTAGCTGATAGTCAGCCAGGAGTTAGTCCTTGTAATTCTTTCTTTTTTGTGGCATCAAACATGGAATTTGGAGCAAGGCCATGGTTAGATTTTAAAAAACAGGGTTAGATTTTAATAAACTGTATTTTCTACAGGGAGGGCACTTACTGCTTTTTAGTCTATCTTCAAGTTGTCTAGGAGGGCATATTTGGCTGAGCCTTTTTTCTGATATGCTTTTCCATGTGTACCTGCAATCAGATCCACATATGTGGCAATGCTTGTACTATACTGAATTAGCAAGAGATCCTTCATAAAACTTTGATGTCTGCTCTGACAGTAATTTTAAAGGAAAGAAATAATAGGATGTCTTGTAAATGAATGTATTTCGTAATAAATTCATCACAGTGTGAGAGGAATCTTCCTGAATAGTGGATATAATGTGCTTCACTTGTTCTCAGTCCATACCTTGCTACTGTGGTTGTTCTGAAGATCCTTTAATTTGGCTGGTGGCTCATGCCATGGCTCAGCAAACCATAAGGCTCACATTCTTGAGACCTTAAGGGGACTTAAACATATGTTGAAATGCCCTTTCCTGAACAATCATATGAGTGTGATTGAAAATTGCGATGTGAACTTAACTGTTATCATAAAGCTTAACTCTGTGTTGAACATCCCATGTTTGAAAATTGAATACATTTTAAGAGCTCTAGCTTTCAATTACCCATATATGTCACATGTATACCTCTTAAACTGAGTTTGTCAATTTACGAGTCTGAAGTTGCTACCACCTCTAGATCATTATCCTTCTTGTGCTCTTTCATTAGTTCACGGTAGGAAAAAAATGTCATGTGCTATGATGATTTGGTGTAATTT